GTTAAATATAATAATTATAAAAACATTTTTATTAAATATAAATACTGTATATCTAATATACATAAATAATATGAAATATACATGAAATATTGTTTTCTGCATAAATATACTACTTTATTTATTCCCTATTGGTGCTACCTAAGTATTTTTTGTTAAGAATTTTAAAGCATTAATTGTATTATTTGTATTTAAATTTAATTTTTATTAAAGTTTCTTAATCTTGTAATATTTTTATAAATTTTATATAACAATACAAAACTAAGAAGGGCAAAGAGCCAAATAAATCTATCGAAAAATATTAAATATATAAAATTTAATAAAACGCTTTAATAATTACAAAAAGACAGACGTTTCGACACCGATCGGGTCATTATCAATGTTATAATTAATAAAAGTATCGTTCGTTTTGTCTCTCGAGAGCTGCTCAGAGTTGCTCCGAACGAACCTAGCATACTTGGATGCGGTCTATTTAATGTTGTAGATACCTCAAAACATACTTTGATTGATCAATTCGTAAAATTTTTTCTTCTGATTGTTCAACAAAGCATTTGCAGTATTAAATGGATCACATCCAAGTACGCTGGGTTTATTCAGAGCCACTCCGAGCAGCTCCCGAGAGACAAAACGAACAATACTAAAGTTAACATATAAAAAATGAACGCATTCTTCTTCCATTAAAAATTGATCCTTAAATATTAATCTTTATATAAATCGGTATAGAATAAATCATATGTTGAAATAAGTATAAATTGATCCTTATCAAAAATACAAAAGAAGCAACAAGTCCATAATTAAAGTTCATCGAAGTCAATTAATATAAAATATATTTGAAAACTGTAAGTCATTTTGCGGTATCTTATCACTATGATGTCAAAAAAGGTAATGTTTATATTTTCAATATATTTATAATACTTACTTAATTGTTGTTTTTATTTTATGAAAGACATATTGCAACGTTTTTTTTACATAAAAGTTTTTATAGAAAATATTTAATAATGTTAATATAAGTTAAATAATAATAAAAATAAAAATTGTAATTGATTCTACTTTAATTTTTACGAATTCATATATATTAATTTTTACAATTTATAAATTTAAAAAAATTTGCGGGAATGGATGATAAATGTCGGACCAACCACAAACCGGGGAGAAGGTGGCCAGACTCTTATTAGAGGGTCACTACACTGGAGAAGTGTTCCCAAATGACTGGATACTAGCTAGTGACGTTATATGAGGCTGTCTTCCCATAGTCCCTTTACCAGTCAGTAAAATAATATTACTAGGGTGACGTCATCTTACTGACTGGAGAAGTGTTCCCATTCTTGCCAGTAAAAAGTGACGTCAGGATTTGTTGCGTTTCTATGCCCTACGCTTTCTACAGTTTTCGTTTCATATTACAGTTTCATTTCATATTTTCGTCATCAGTGATCTTCATTGAATAGGTAAGTAAATAATATATATTCCATGTAGCAATGTTTACTTGCAACTCTGTAATATTTCGGTACCCATGTCTTAAAATAATTGATCCCGGCGACTAAAGAGGTTAGACAACAATTTCGTTCTGGTACCGAAATATTACAGAGTTGCAAGTAAACATTGCTACATGGAATATATATTATTTACTTACCTATTCAATGAAGATCACTGATGACGAAAATATGAAATGAAACTGTAATATGAAACGAAAACTGTAGAAAGCGTAGGGCATAGAAACGCAACAAATCCTGACGTCACTTTTTACTGGCGAGAATGGGAACACTTCTCCAGTCAGTAAGATGACGTCACTCTAGTAATATTATTTTACTGACTGGCAAAGGGACTATGGGAAGACAGCCTGTATGTACAGTCGGGGGGCTGTCTTCCCATAGTCCCTTTGCCCATATATGTAATACTACTATATGGCTAGATGAGAGAAAAGTCCATGTCCCAGAACAACGGTGCGGGAATATACTTCTCTCTCTTTCTCAACGTACTTTGAACGTTGTGCGCATGCGTCGGATCATCCCCTCCATCAATAATAAATAGAAGGATAAATATACATATATGTGTAAGGAAGAAGGAAAAAGTGATTGATTCCGCTTCAGGGTATAACCTTGTTACAGTTAACAGAGTCAGTTTAGTCGGAATAAATAAATTAATCCTAATTTTATGAAATAAACTTTTTCAAGATTGCCGTTATGTATATAAGAATACAGTGCAATCCCTTACAGAAATTTCATGATAATCAGTGCAAACTAATACCTATTTCATACCTATGCAAACTAATGTTTTCAGTCGCATTAGGCGCATTAGGCTTTTTGCCACATAAATAACATATCTTGACCATTTTTGCCTGTGTACAACAGCACACATCTAATAAGCATAACGAGCATAACCTGTTCGCGTCATCTCACTGATCGCACTCTATTTTCCTATTGGCGGATGCAATCAATCCAACGCATGCGCACAACACTCAAAGTACTCTTAGAAAGAGAGGGAAATATATATTCCCGCACCGTGGTTCTGGGACCGCTTCCTTTCACTCCCTCTTATAGGCACTAGCCATATAGTAGTATTACATATATGCCTTTGCCAGTCAGTAAAATAATATTACTAGGATGACGTCATCCTACTGACTGGAGAAGTGTTCCCATTCTCGCCAGTAAAAAGTGACATCAGGATTTGTTGCGTTTCTATGCCCTACGCTTTCTACAGTTTTCGTTTCATATTACAGTTTCATTTCATATTTTCGTCATCAGTGATCTTCATTGAATAGATAAGTAAATAATATATATTCCATGTAGCAATGTTCACTTGCAACTCTGTAATATGTAATTGGGTACCGGAACGAAATCGTTGTCTAACCTCTTTAGTCGCCGGGGTCAATTATTTTAAGACATGGGTACCGAAATATTACAGAGTTGCAAGTAAACATTGCTACATGGAATATATATTAGGTATTTATGGAGAAAACGGCCGACCTCACCGATTTTAATGAAACTAGGCTCATTCGACGCGTTTTTGCACGAAACGAAAGAATCTGGCAGAAAAAAGTGTCGCTCTGCCCTACGAACCGAGATATTAAGCGTTAAAGTTGACGACTATTCAGGTTAGGAAATCTGTCATACCGACTACATGTAGTGCTACGAGTATGCCTTCTTCATGCTGTCTGACCTCATGCGCATGCGCTTGGTATCGTTTGAGTCCAACAGAATGCACGAAATTTGAAGTCGGGGCAGACCTCTGTCCACCTCCTCCTCCCCCCCTGCTGAGGGGCGCACGACTTCTACGATTGTACTGTCGGGGCAGACCTCTGTCCACCTCCCCCTCCCCCCCTGCTGAGGAGCGCACGACTTCTACAATTGTACTGTCGGGGCAGACCGCTGTCCACCTCCCCCTTCCCCCCTGCTAACAATTATAACAAAAGAAAATCTATTTCAGATTTCGTTACATTTTTCACTTACCAATCAGACAACTTAATGCATGCGCACAAAGTCAGAGAGCATTTAAAAGGCATATACTCGTGTAACACTTATATGTAGTCGGTATGACAGATTTCCTAATCTGAATAGTCGTCAACTTTAACGCTTAATATCTCGGTTCGTAAGGCAGAGCGACACTTTTTTGTTTCGTGCAAAAACGAGTCGAATGAGCCTAGTTTCATTAAAATTGGTGAGGTCGGCCATTTTCTCCATAATTACCGAAAACTGTAGAAAGCATAGGGCATAGAAACGCAACAAATCCTGACGTCACTTTTTACTGGCGAGAATGGGAACACTTTTCCTGTCAGTAAGATGACGTCACCCTAGTAATATTATTTTACTGACTGGCAATAGGTCTGTTCGCGTTGCTTGCACTTTTTGCACTTACCATCTTCGCTTTCTTTCTTTTTAAAGCCGAATATACATCTATCTCACTTTAAGTGCAAAATTATTTGGGGATT